ATTAGTGGACAGCACTTAGTAGCTGTGGAGGAAGATGCAAGAGAAGATGAAGAGGAGGGGGATGTGAAACTCTTAAGTATATCTGGAAAGCGATCTGCCCCTGGAGGTGGTAGCAAGGTTCCACAGAAAAAAGTAAAACTTGCTGCTGATGAAGATGATGATGATGATGAAGATGATGATGATGATTTTGATGATGTGGAAACTAAAGAAAAAGTGCCAGTGAAGGAATCTATATGAGATACTCCAGCCAAAAATGCACAAAATTCAAATCGGAATGGAAAAGACTCAAAACCATCGTCAACAACAAGATCAAAAGGACAAGAATCCTTCAAAAAACAGGGAAAAAAAACTCCTAAAACACCAAAAGGACCTAGTTCTGTAGAAGACGTTAAAGCAAACATGTAAGCAAGTATAGAAAAAGGTGGTTCTCTTCCCAAAGTGGAAGCCAAGTTCATCAATTATGTTGAAGAACTGCTTCTGGATGACTGACCAGGAGGCTATTCAAGATCTCTGGCAGTGGAGGAAGTCTCTTTAAGAAAATAGTCTAAACAGTTTGTTAAAAATTTTGCATCTTATTTCTTTTTGGTAACAGTAGATATCTGGCTGTCCTTTTTATAATGCAGAGTGAGAACTTTCCCTACCATGTTTGATAAATGTCGTCCAGGTTCCATCGCCAAGAATGCGTTGTCGAAAATGTCTGTTTAGTTTTTAAAGATGGAACTCCACCCTTTGCTTGGTTTTAAGTAGGTATGGAATATTATGATAGGACATAGTAGTAGCTGTGGTCAGACATGGAAATGGTGGGGAGACAAAAACATACATGTGAAATAAAATTCAGTATTTTAATAAAGTTAAAAAAGAGAGAGAGAGATGTGGTACAGTCTCCCAGAAGATATAACCAAAAGTTGTAAAGTGGCTGTCCCTGGGTAGAAATGCCAGCATTGGGAGGTGGGGAAGTGGGGAGTGGTGAGAGGGAAGAGAAGAAGACTATATCTTTAATTTTAAATTATTTTGTGCCATTTCATTTTTTAACTATATGCAATAGAATAAAATTATGTGCTTTTCCTCTTTCCTGTATTTCTCTTCATATCATGACTCTCCTCCCAATGAGACTTCCAGACTTCAGTTTTTTGTGTGTGTGTGGTTTTTTTGTTTTGTTTTGTTTTGTTTTTGAGACAGGGTCCAACTCTGTCACCCAGGTTGGAGTCCAGTGGTGTGATCTCAGCTCACTGCAGCCTCTGTCTCTTATACACATCTAGATGTGTATAAGAGACAGACCTAAGTGTGTGTAGCTACCCGATGGAAGATTCGATGGACATGGACATGAGCCCCCTGAGGCCCCAGAACTATCTTTTCGGTTGTGAACTAAAGGCCGACAAAGATGATCACTTTAAGGTGGATAATGATGACAGTGAGCACCAGTTATCTTTAAGAACCGTCAGTTTAGGGGCTGGTGCAAAGGATGAATTGCCCATTGTTGAAGCAGAGGCAATGAATTACGAAGGCAGTCCAA